GGGGGAACAGAATATTTTAGCCACCTGAAATAATCTGTTCCCCCCCCACAACATGGGAATAAATATGGGAATAAAGGTAGCGTTGAAATGGAACTCCGTATCGGAGCTGACCTATCTTCTGCAAAGGTAACGAGTCGCTTCACTACCGAGTGTACCGAGGCTGAGCTGGGGTCGGATGGAGGGTGCCATTCCTCGTCAACACACTTTCCCTCATCCATCTTTTCTCTCCATTTAAACTCCTTCATTTCCCATCTTTAAAACTCTTCTATCTTGCCAGTAATTAATCCAGATATCTTCAGAAATGTCTGTTGTTTTTATTAAGTAAAACGTGCCAAGCTTTATTAATCAGAGCCGATAGTATAATCAAGTGTACAATGTTTTGATGTTAAATTTTGATTCTGTTAATAAATGACCACATTCATTTTGATGGGTCAAAGAAAATTAACGTCTCATGTCACTGATTAAACCATCGACAACACAGTACCTCTGTCACGTATCTGTCAAGTAGCTCGAAAAAGTGAGAACCCGTTATTAAAAATTGACTGTAGTGGAGCTCTTAAGCTAACTGAAGCTAACCTAGCCTACTTCACTACATTGGTAACTCTAAATTGTCTCTAGATGTGAGTGAGAGAGTGAATGGTTGTTTGTCTCGTTTGTTTCTGGCCCTGTGATGGACTGGAGACCTGTCCAGGCTGTCCCCCACCCCTCGCACAGTGATTGCTGGACATGGGCACCGGCGACCCCCGTGACCCATAAAGGAAGAAGCGGGTAAAGATAATGGATTTATAGACGGATGGATAAAAATAGCAGAACTGTAGCTCAAAGCTTAAATTAGTAGAAATATTGATCAAAACCATTTTTAGAATGACTGCAAGATGTCTGGTGGTCAAGGAGCTAAATCTAAAGAAATGACTTAAAGTTTTTGCACAATATCCGCAAACTGGAAAAAGAAAATACAAAATGAACTACAGAAGTTAGGTCATTCATGTCTTTTTTTTATTTTTATTTTTTTAGCTCTTCTTGATTCTTTCAGGTTAGATAATAAATAGAACATTTTATCTGTTGGCCTCCACAGTTTTCCCAAATCTGGTGCAGACGCTGAACGGTGGCCTTCACGTGATGGTGATTCTTTTCCTCTTGGCGGCTGTTGGCTTTGCTCTGGTCAGTCTGTCCTTCTCCGTGTACAACACCCGCAAGGTTCCCTACCAGAGCATCAAGGGCCACAAGGGACTCTACCTGTGGAACCTCACTGCTGGTATTTGTTTTTTCCTGTCAGTTTCATCTTTGTGTTAAATGCATCATTTGCTTTTTGCTAAATACGTTGTTATTCTGATACCTCAGTCGTCCAGAGACTTCTTAATGTTCCTCTCCCTGAACATTTTGCCCCCCTGACGTCTGCTCTCTCTTTCCAGCTCTTTTTGGTGCCCTGGGTGTTTTATGTTTCCTGGCAGCCATGAGACACCACGGCCTGACGGAGCGGGTGGCAAACTACAGAGAGAACCTGTTCGTCCTGGTTGTCCTGGACGACACCCTGGATTGGTCCTTTTGGCTCGGCGTCGGCAGTGTCGGCACTCACTTCGCTGTCTGTGGCGTGGTCGCCATGAGTCGTATTAAACTGCCCAAACCGGAGATCAAAAAGCCTGAAGAACCCACCATCTCAGCTGTGGATCTGCTCTACTAACGGACACACACTGGAGGCATTACCATCGCAGATGGATGAGCAGCAGGATGAACCCCCCTTGGTGCCATAGCTCCTTGATGTTGTCTGTGTGGGCCCATTTCAGCCTTATTACACTTTTTTTTGTTTGTTTGTTTTTTTAATGAAAATGTTCTCACCTCCAAGGAAAATGAAGCTTTGTAAGGACTCAAGCACAGACTAGGAATTGGTCTGCTCAAAAAGCCTAACAACTTTTAAGAGATTGCTGCACTGCTGTAGCTTTTTCTCTTGGGCAGCAGACTGATGCATGACTATTTGGTAAACCACACATATTATGGAGGAAGATCCATGAATAGGCCTTCAGATGATGAGGTGAAGGCTCAGAGTTTCACGAAGACCCTGCAACCCCAGACACTGATTTACTATGTATTTATGTATTTATTTATTTTATGTACTTACTTACAACGGAATTTTATATATGATAACTCAAAACAAGAATGAAAGAGAGCAAAGCGAAGAAAAACAAATCATATCACATCTGCCCCTTTTCTTAAAAAAGAAAGATAAAAGACACTCATCTGATGCACGCATGTGATAATTCACCTTTACTTTGACTTTCACATGCCTGTTGAAAGTTTCTAAGAGTATTAAAATAGCATTCATAGATTTGATTTACAAAAAGCTGGCAAACTAATTTTCATGGAAAATAAAAATCCAGATGTTTTTTTTTTTGGATCTGAGCTGCATGTCTGCTTTTCTTCTGCTTGCAATTTAAAAGAAGAAACATTAAAAGGATGATAATTTATAGAATAACAGAAGA